AATTTACTGTTCCCATACTGTTTATTGAGACATTGCCTTAGCAAGAGAATCAGTCATGTGAGAAGGACCGGGCCCAGCAGTGAGCAGCGAGCATAACTGTCGCGCAATTATCAAGCCCGCATCCAACACGGACCACGAAATCGCGGCAATTTATGATTCGAAAGCAAATTGTCAAGCCATCATCGCACCAATTAAGACCTCAAACTGTGACTACGGGAGCTGGTACGCATGCGGATGACCGCTACAAACTATAAACGCCGTGCAATCTGTGCATGTATCACCCCAATCTGCGCGTGTCTCACACTATCCTACGGTTGTCTATGATTAAGCATTCTCGACAGAATCCGAAACGCCAGGAAAATAAAATTTTTGTTCCAGTGATCGCATCTTCTTCTTGTGAACAAGTACTCTCGATCATTATAAAGTCTCTTGCTAGGTCTACTCATTTGTGGAAGTTGAAGAAGCACGTAAGGAATTCTTGCGATGAAAGCTTAACCTCACCCAGATGCTTGCAGATCAGTGGCAGAAAAGTGCTGAAATTGATGGACTCTTTTCAACAGTTTTTGCTATTTTTAAATTGACCCAAATGTAAAAAATTCGTGGCCTCGGTGAGATTTGACCTCACACCAGCAGGGAAGGACTTAGTACAGCCAACGCTCTGGCAATTGAGCTACGAAGGCTCAACGTGCGCCGTGAATTTACTCAAACTTTGGTCAATTTACCCACTCAGTCCGACCTGAGTGTTATTTAATTCAAAGCTTTCGGCGTGTCTTCACAGCTCAACGGTAGAGCGTCGGCCGTACTAAAGCCTTCCCTGTTGATGTGAGTTCGAATCCCACCGAGGCCTCGAATATTTCAAAATCAGGTCAATTAAATTATTAAAATACTTATCCAAAACCTAGGTTTTGGATTTAGTTAACTTATTTTTGCCTAGAAATCTGGTTTGTTGTGCATGGAATGCAACATCAAATTTGCAGGTCAAAATCTGCTGTATCCAACAAACCTTCTCTTATGAGTTCCTCCAGCCTGTGTTGATACTCGTTGGTAACGCTCACGGAAGACTCCTTTTGCTGGCCATTGTCAATGAATAGGCAGTGGGTGTAGGCCTTGAATTTTGTCATCTCCTTGGAGTCTGAGGAGTGACCCTAGGAAGGCCGCATAAACAAAGGGGCAGGGGAGGGGAGGATTATGTCAACTAACCCCTGATAGCAGAGTTTAGCAGGCCGTCTTATCAGTAGTCAGAATTAGTAGTTAATTCTGGACGGCAGATCCTCAAATATGTCCTCCCTAGTCCGCCTGGTTCCCACTGT